GAACCCAATGGATCCGACCTAAAAAAAAAAAACACATTTGGAGATGAATACGGGGTCCCACTTGGTGTAATTTCTCTTAGTCACTTGGTTGGTAAGAACTTTTTTGCTCCTTTTTAGGTTGGGATTGGGGTTTTGTGTGGGGCTGTGTGCAATGGTTGCAGTCTATTTCCTTGAACAAAGAACTCAGGCCAATCACGGCCAGAGAATATACTATTTGCGGTTATTTGTGAATCACATAGAAACTGACGAACGAGGTCCAATTTTGTATAAGCTGATTTTAATGATTTGACCAGGGTACGATCAAAAAATTTTCNGATTGGGGTTTTGTGTGGGGCTGTGTGCAATGGTTGCAGTCTATTTCCTTGAACAAAGAACTCAGGCCAATCACGGCCAGAGAATATACTATTTGCGGTTATTTGTGAATCACATAGAAACTGACGAACGAGGTCCAATTTTGTATAAGCTGATTTTAATGATTTGACCAGGGTACGATCAAAATTTTTTTNTAAAAAAAAAAAACACATTTGGAGATGAATACGGGGTCCCACTTGGTGTAATTTCTCTTAGTCACTTGGTTGGTAAGAACTTTTTTGCTCCTTTTTAGGTTGGGATTGGGGTTTTGTGTGGGGCTGTGTGCAATGGTTGCAGTCTATTTCCTTGAACAAAGAACTCAGGCCAATCACGGCCAGAGAATATACTATTTGCGGTTATTTGTGAATCACATAGAAACTGACGAACGAGGTCCAATTTTGTATAAGCTGATTTTAATGATTTGACCAGGGTACGATCAAAAAATTTTCGATATTATACCTCTAAAATTTATTATTTTAAATATTATTTTTATAATTTTTATGAATTATTTTATAACCAAAAAATTTACCTTTTTTGTAATTGATTTGCCATTTTTTGAGTATCTTTACCACCGTTATAAGTGTTTTTACAAGATAACTATTTTTATCACTTTTTATAAGTTCAAAAATATATATATTATCATTTTTGTGGATGATTTATTATATTTGTAAGNTTTTATAACCAAAAAATTTACCTTTTTTGTAATTGATTTGCCATTTTTTGAGTATCTTTACCACCGTTATAAGTGTTTTTACAGGATAACTATTTTTACCATTTTTTATAAGTTCAAAAATATATATATTATCATTTTTGTGGATGATTTATTATATTTGTAAGTGTTTTTATCATATTTATAGATATTTTTATCATTTTTTTGGATATTACAATAATGATAAAAATATCCACAAATATAATAAAAATTATCACAAATGAGAAATTTTGGTATAGTACCAAAAATCAATAGTCATCTCCGATTTTTAAAAGCATGCCTGAGAAAATTTTATTGACCCAATTATCTAAAATATTTTTGCTCAATCAATACTATTTATTGACTTAATTTATTAATCTAATAATTAATAATTATTAAATTGAAACTGAAATCTTATTTGATAAAATCCACTACCAATTCAAGTCAGAAGTTCTTTTTTTTTTTTTTTTGAACAGTGAAGTCAGTAGGTCATATTATGACGAATGTGCAGACATATTCCCCGCGGTGTAGTTCGTATAGCTTCTAAGTTTGCATGAATGACATGGCCAAATCCTAACCGCACGATTGGAATATTAAAACTCAACCTCTCAATTTAGTCCCAAATTTAAAACATTCTACGACAAACAATTATAGGTTTTGGGCAAATCGATGGTATCAATTTCGGTATGTATCTTTCATTAATTTCAACTATTATTTTTAAGGGGCTATCTCACATCGGATAGTCTTCGGGTGTGTGTGTGTTATATAGAGGCTATCTCACTTCTACTTTTAAGTAAAAGTATTATAATTCTCTTGTGATAAAAAAAAATAGATGTGTCCAGGGCGTGTTTCATGTGGGCTCAATTGCATCCCTCAAGGCTTGATTATGATCGGACAAACTGTCGGGNATTTTTAAGGGGCTATCTCACATCGGATAGTCTTCGGGTGTGTGTGTGTTATATAGAAGCTATCTCACTTCTACTTTTAAGTAAAAGTGTTATAATTCTCTTGTGATAAAAAAAAATAAATAAATGTGTCCAGGGCGTGTTTCATGTGGGCTCAATTGCATCCCTCAAGGTTTGACTATGATCGGACAAACTGTCAGACCTACGTGGTGATGGACTGGGACTATCCCACATCACATAGTTTTCGGGTGTGTGTGTGGATTATATAGAGGCCGCCTCACTTATGTTTTTAAGTAGAAGTGTTGTAGTTCTCTTATGATAAAAAACAANGACAAACTGTCAGACCTACGTGGTGATGGACTGGGACTATCCCACATCACATAGTTTTCGGGTGTGTGTGTGGATTATATAGAGGCCGCCTCACTTATGTTTTTAAGTAGAAGTGTTGTAGTTCTCTTATGATAAAAAAAAAATTATTATTTTTAAATTGAATGATTTTAACAATTGATTTAAAAAATAAACAATTATAGACATGAAACATTTTTTTACTCATTAAACAATCAAAATACAAAATTTATTTTTTGGTAGACTTCAAAACTTTTCGTATGATTCAATCATATCCCACTCTAAAAGCATCTCAAACTCTCACTCTACTTCTTCTCTTTTAGCCATTTTAGTTAAGTCAAACACAAAAAATCATCTCCAACCCACTCTCTATTTCACCCAAATGGCTCTCCAAATGTGGAGAACCGTTTAGCCTCTCTAAATTTTCTTTACCTCTTTTTCTGTCTATCTCTCTGTGTATATGTTGTATTTCTTTTAAATTATTGAAAGTTAGTTAAAATTAGATAAAAAAGTTAATTAAAATAGAGTGTGGTTAAAGTAAATTTATAAAAATAAATAATTAAAATTTNATTTCACCCAAATGGCTCTCCAAATGTGGAGAACCGTTTAGCCTCTCTAAATTTTCTTTACCTCTTTTTCTCTCTATCTCTCTGTGTATATGTTGTATTTCTTTTAAATTATTGAAAGTTAGTTAAAATTGGATAAAAAAGTTAATTAAAATAGAGTGTGGTTAAAGTAAATTTATAAAAATAAATAATTAAAATAAAAAATATAATATTTAAATATATTTTCGTTAACTATTTTAGATGGGTGGATTAGAGATGCTCTAAGGTGCCTAAAGGATTCAAATCATATTGTCATTTTCATTGCTGATTCAAATCATATTGTCATTTCCATTGCTGACATTCTTTCAATAAAATGAATGCATGCCAATGTGAACCTTGAAAACTTAGTATACTAACCCGGGACCACAAGTTAGCCTTCATTGCGGCACATACAAGGCATTTTTCATTAGCTGTTGATCATTGTCTCTCGACTACACCTATCACTGACATTCTACTCAATTTTATTTTTCAGAGTAAAATATTCTACACATTACAACCACGACTCCACACTAACAAACCACTATTTTTTAAAATTCATTCAAAAAAAATTATTTTTTTATCACCCAAAAAATTTATATAATTATTTATGTATTTGAATTTTTATGCACCTATCTGAGAAAAAAATATTAATTACAACGGTGATACCACATGACAATGTGATATAGTAACACTAACCAATAATATTAGAATAAATAAACCCCACAAAAATTAATAACTAACCTATCACATAAACAAATAACTCACCACTCTTCTTTCATAAGCTCAAGTGGGGTTATGAAGAAGAGTTAATTACAAATTACACCATGAAAGGTTGTTCGGATTTCAATTTGTACCCTCAAAGATAAAAAATTTTTAATTAGCATCCTCAAAGATAGAAATTTGTATCAATGTGCACCCCCAAAGATCAAAAATCTCTATTTGCACCTTCAAAGATAAAAATTTGTATCAATGTGCACCTAAAATTAACCACCGTCATTTACTGCCTAAAATTAAATTGATAAATTATACTTAAATCCCTTCATATATGTCACTTAATTATTTGGACTCATTCACATTTAGAATATTACTTCTATATCTCATGACGTTTGTATACCTGTAACATGTAACCCTTTTTCGTTGATATCTGTTAATATAACCATTAAAAAATATAATTTTATCCTAATAAAAAATTACAATTTCATATTACCCTTTATTTTGTGAGTACGATATCCTCTAAAGTTTAAAATCAAGCTTATCATTTGAATGTCCAATAGAATATAAGTATTTATACAATATTTTTATATGCAATGCAATATATTACTTGAACATAATTATTTGAATGCACCATTGAAGGGACATTTTAAATTGAGAGTATTTTTATTAAGATTCTATAACCGTTAAAAAAAATAATTTTATCTTAATAAAAAATTATAATTTCATATTACCATTTATTTTATGAAAGGGTCCAAATAATTAAATGACAAGCATGAAAAAATCTAAATATAATTTATCAATTTAATTTTAGGCAGCAAACTAACGGCAATTAATTTTAGGTGCACATTGATACAAATTTCTATCTTTTAAGGTACAAATTAAAATTTTTGATCTTCAGAGGTGTAAATTAAGATTCGAACGATCTTTCGAGGTGCAATTTACAATTAACCCTAGGAGGAAATCCTATTATTTCCTGCCTTTTGCAATCTATTTTCATGTCCGATGTGATGAGAAGTGAAGAGAACAGAACCCATTAGACATTGTTAACCTGTAGATACATCTCAAATGGATTTAGACTTCCAAAATCATCTGAATCTGCAGATACAGATATAAAGTGGATGCAATTTTTACCAGAAAAGAAAGATAACCAACAACAGAGAGAATGGAACCACCCTGGAGAAGATCATACAGATGTCATTGCATCACGAATTCTTCTGCTACTATCCGAAATACAATGAGCCTGGCGATAGAACTGCAAATCGAATCAGAATCTGATCTGCACCATTCATCCATAAATGTAGTTGCAGTTCCACTTGAGAAATACTGTTGCAAGGGCAAAGTGAAAATGAACCAGAACTCAAAAATTCCTTAGACCTTTAAATATTAAGACCCATACGGTTGGCAGATATGAAATCAAGTAAGTGATTTGCCAGCCCATTCTCGTTCTCGTCGCTTCTGCTTTGCTTGCATCCTGTTGAACTTCTCTTTTCCTTTCTCCAAAAGAGGGTCATGCACCACATAATCATTCGGGTCATTACTGCGAGACATATTATCCTGTGCATTGATGAAAAGGAGCATTTTACGTATAGCTGAACATATATTCAGACAATGACCCACATTAACGAAATTCAATCGCATCATATCTCACATATGAAATAATCAACTATTCCATATATTATGAAGGAACTATTTTAGGAAACAGAATATGGCTTCAAGCCAGATGAGTACTGTCTCCTAAAATTTAATGTTCATAATTTCCTCTGATAACTCAAGTAGGTTGCACAACTGCAGGCAAATGCATTTGATAATGAGTGGGAGAATTTTATTGCCATTTTGTTTCCCAATGGTTCAAATAAAAATAAGGAATTAATCCTGGCAGAAATTAAGAAGAAAAACACATAAGCATACTTTGCCAGGCTCAGGTGCAAACTTTAGCCTAACACCCTTCCAGTCAGACAAATCCTCATCATTGCCACCTCCAGATTCAGTATTAGACCCGATGGATTGGGTAGAAATGGCTGCCTTAAACTTCTCGAGCTTTGCCAGTACCTAGTGGCCACAAATCAACGGCAAGAATAAATAAATGACCAAATGTATGAATAGGTGAAGTGATGGAGGCCAGCATAAAGAAGTTAACATGGAAAATTAGAGAGACCCATAAATGCCATTATTATTGATTAGTCCTAAATTCTCAACTTCCCCACCCTTTTTATCTGCTCTTCTTTAGATCCGATCTGATAATTTCCTTTCAATCCCTAGTAACCCAATATAGTGTGTGTGTGTGTGTGTGTGTGTGTGTGTATACATATTATTTTTGTTTCTTGTAAAAATAAGAGCACTCTCTGAAACACAAACCCCACCTAAAAAATGCATTATATATATACCTCTATAGATGTGAATTTGATTTATTGTTGACCTATGCACATCCTAGAAGGACATGTCTCACAACTAGAAGCAACACACATTCCTAACAAATGGGTAACAAAAAAGGCGATGTTGGAATTATATAATCGAATAACATTTTCTAAGGATTTGCATTTTATGTCCCATTCTCTGATTCCCATAAATATTTCTAGCATGTCTTGCTGGTGCTAGTAAGCATGCTTCCAGATTCACAGATTCTTCATGATTCCTCCTCTTATTTTTTGCAACAGTTCATGATAAACATCTCTACGAGGATAGCTTGTGCTATTGAGACTTCAGTAGGAAGGACAAAACCAGAAGGGTAAAGCATAACAAATCTAATAGAATCAACAGCAGTTCCATGACATACATCATCTTCATGTCCTTGACGTCTACGCCTCTTCTGTTTCTGCAACCGTCTCTCACGTTCAGCTGCACCTAACAATTGTAAGTCTACATCAGCATTAGCCATACGTTCAGCTCTGGCTTCTGAGCCTATTCCTTTCTTCTTCAAAGACAACTTATCCACTTGTGGTCGACCATTAGAACTGTCAGCATTGGACCTGGTAAGCACAAAATTGGAATATTACTTCTCTATCAGTCTGCTTTGGATTCCTCAACCATGTTGCTAGGAATCTACCAATAAGACACGAATAAGATAAATGCTACTAGGAAAAAAGCATACGTTGAGGCACTCCCCCACCCCCCCAGCATAAACATGGCAATGTTATTATCATAACCAGTTGGACATGAAAAAGATGAAGAACATGGAAACCACCAAAATCAGCAATTATATGGTGAAAAAGGTACAGGAGACAAAGTAAGAAACTCAACTAAAGATGGGAAATCCCCGTGTTAGTGATAATCTTGGGTGTATCTGCAGCATGTGTGGCAGGATGTTTATATAAAGAAAGGTATGTGGGTATCTACATAGAAGTTTCCAATTTTCTTTCACCACTCCCTTTTTCTACAAGTTACAGCACAAAAATAAATTCTTCTGTCAAGTAATTGTAAGCTCTATGTTTGAGAATCATTTCACTACACTTCGCAGGATAAATATCTCTGGAAGATTGCCTTCTGATACTTTATGCCTTCGATTCAAAGAACTGATATGTCACTACAGGGTTTACTCTTCCACATGTTACATTATTCGCATTTCATGTCCTGGGACATAGATATTCTATAGACCTCATTATGAATCCCCAAAGTCCTAATAATTCTTAATTTTTCCAATCAGATCCCAAAAATGAGAAGTCTATAAAACTAAGTTGAAGAACCTAATAAATTGAACACATCCTTGGCTGCTAAGGAACATATTGACCTTGTGTTGTGGAAGTAACATTCTGTTGTTAGTTGGAGGCAACAACTTTTTGTCAATAAAGGTTTGGAATCCTCATTGTACCGTTTCCTTCATGGTTCAGCTAAAGGAAAAGCAAGTAACCAAGCATCCCTTTGAACAGTCTTTCCATTCACGTAAGTTGGTATCCGTGTGCCAGAGAGAAGAAGGAGAGCAAAGGGAGCCAACAGAAGAGTGAACCTTGTCAGAAATGACTGCGCTGAACCTCATCGGAGGTGTGATTAGCTTTAGTCATAGAATTCATATGAACAGCTCCTATTGAAGGGACTTCATAAAAACCTTTCCAAGCAATTACACTTGTAAAAGAAGACAGCTTTAACCTCTTAGGTGTCAAGGTCCAAAAATGCAGTTGTTTTCCACACCTTTTGTCCCCCCAAAAAAAACAATCACATTTGTCAGATTGATCAACTATAAACCATCAGTCAACATCTAAGTAGGAGGAGCCCAGCAAAAAGACCCAAAGACTCATCATAATTCATAACAACATGCTCATGTGGTGTTACAGCAATATGTACTGGAAAGTTAGTTGAACAAGCAGTCAATAAAAGATATATAGAATTCTTATATATGTAGTTAACTTGAAAGCATTATATACAGGTATATAGGCCTTTATAATCTATATAATAAGAGAGCTAGGAGTTTGCACCTTATCCCCATATATTTTTTCCTCTCATTTCTATCACATCAATCATTTCTATCCCAAGTTAAATTAAATATTTGTGGCTCAATAAAATTTTTATTTCAAGCATTGTTCATATATGATATTATACACATGTTGAAATTTTGTTGAGGTCATGGATTTTGGGAATATTTTGTAAATAATAATTGGCAGAAATTAATTATGAAATTAAAGAAAGAGAAGGAATGAAAAATTGTTAATTTCAAAATCCATTTTATGTTGCATCGTGTCGTCAGACATGGTTTATGACTAGTTCTCTATATGCTTCATAATAAAAGGGCCACAGGTGTGCATGTATGCAGCATATATGATAGATGCTGAACATGTATTCATTTAGCAAATTGGAACAAGAATGCAAAGAACTCTTTGGAGATAACACCACCCCAAAACAAGAGCAAAACATTAAGAAATTGAACTATAGATTGACTCTATTCTATTTTGAAGACACAAGAAAATGAAACAACAACTAGGCTATAGGCTAAACATTAAGATCCATACCATGGTGGAGACGTTTCACGAATCCTTGGACTTGAACTCTCTGAACATGTAAGAAAAGAACTGATAATTAGAGCATTTCCCTTCTACAATAATAAAGACTTGATCTTAAAGTGCAAGAGATGATGGATATAATATTAAAAAAAATTGAATAAAACTTTTCATCACTGTGTTCATCTGCAGTAGCCTCACTATTTTAATAAAGTTGCCTTTCACACAGTATATACTTATTCCCAACTCCAACAACAACCAAACGGATGGATGCATCAGGCTCATGAATTTATACAATCCACATCGTTTCAAATGAAATTTTACTATAACACATTCCTCTAATTTGAAACCAGAATGGAATTGATTCAATTACATTTGCATAAGCAAAGAGTACAAAAGCCCTTCATGGACTGGTCATACCATCATGGACAGTTAGAAAAATGAAGCCAAAAAAAGGGGACTTACAACATATACAAAGCCTTTTTGGTCCTATCGGTAGATAATATGGTCTCTGCTTATTGCTGTTTTACTGTTATTAAGGTTCTAGGAGTCAACATAAAATAGTTATTCTCCAATTCACTGAAATGAGCTTGAATAAAGCTTTCTGGGTCTTAATTTGGGTATGTTGGATTTTAATTGGTGATCTCTAACAGATCTATTCTAGGCTAAACTTAAAAGTCAGAATTTCAATGTGTCGATTGAAGCATGGTTATCAAAATCACGATTTGGTTCGTAGAATCCTAAGGTCCTACTATCCATTATAGAAAATAGACCTCATTCTCTATAAGAATTTTAATGGATCGCAATCCGGATCGTATAAGACTGTAGGATTCCAATCGCAATAAAGATTTTACTTGTTGGGAATCCTTGGTTATCGAGCTCCCCCAGTCCATATTATTTGCTTTAATACTTAAATATCCAACTCTTATATACTATATACTTATTACTCTTTGGGGGATTTTTGACGTGTGANTTACGATACGTTTCAATACTTTGGGAAGACAACACACACAAGATCATTTTTTTATGTTTTCCTCTTTTTTTTTTAACTCTAAAAATGAAGTGACATCATTTCCTACAAGTTATTGTTTCTTTTTCTTTTTTCTCTCAAATTCGCGATCATCATCTTCATTTGCAATATATTCTACTGCTCCTGATTCTTCTTCAAACAACCAAACCTAGTAGTATGTATCCAAAATTCTAGGCATCGGCCGATATCGATACTGTTTCATGTTATGTATAAACCCCAAGCCTCGTGCGATTCGGCCGAGTTGTCCAAGACATCTCTAAATCAATCCCGAGTTAACACTAAGTCGCTAAGTTATCATCATTGAATCGGTTGATATCATCCTACAACAATATATTTAACTTTTTTCTTTGAGATCGTATTACCCAATATTGTTTTGTGATGTCGCAACCGACACGTCTCAAATTTCTCCATATCAATGACCAATACTACCACCTTGAATCATGACTATATCTACCACGAAGACGAAGGCTTGTCTCTTTCGATCTCTATCGCAAACGTGCAATGCAAAGGATGATGAGTAGGGGTGGCAATCAAGTCGTGTCGTATCAGGCTCATTTCAGGTCATTGCGGGTTCCTGTCAAACATTAGTTAGCCCTAACCAAACCCATTTAACTAATCGTGTTTTGTCGAGTTTGACCTGTTTATTTTCGTGTCGTGTTTGTGTTCGTATTTGTGTTGATCCGTATATACTTTGAATAAAAAATTTAACGCTAAAATTCTATTTTTACTTAATTGNGTTGATCCGTATATACTTTGAATAAAAAATTTAACGCTAAAATTCTATTTTTACTTAATTGAATTCATGCTTATACTTTTTCTATAAACTAAAAACTAACTTACTAAACATAATACTAATAATAATATTTGAGTAAAAATATTTTTTTATACAATAATTATGTCAGTGCTTAATAAACAGTTATAAATAATTAACATTTTATTTCTATAATACTAGGTAAACATGTTAATCCTATTAATTTCGTGTTGTTCGTGTTACCATACAAACGATAAGATAGAGGAAATGTCCATTCTTAACTAAATCTGTCAAAGTTTTCATGATTTTGAAACTGCTAGACTTAAAATAGATTTTTTCCAACAAAGGAAGAATAGTCACCATATTCTTGAATTGAGACCATTTTTTCTTTTAATAATTTATCTAAATGGGTTAAGCATGTCATTTTTGGATAAAAAGTTATCAGGTCGTGTTCGTGTTGTTTTGGTCATTGTTGGGTTAGTGTTGACACAATTAAATAAACGGGTTGATTGTGTCAATTTTGAATTTGACGAGTTGAANCCTGTCATTTTTGGATAAAAAGTTATCAGGTCGTGTTCGTGTCGTTTTGGTCATTGTTGGGTTAGTATTGACACAATTAAATAAACGGGTTGATTGTGTCAATTTTGAATTTGACGAGTTGAATCCAAACATGACCCGTTTGAATTTCGTGTTCTCGTGTCGGGTCATTTTCGAGTTCGTGTCAAGTTTAAGTTATGTCGTCGTGTTAAATCGAAAATTACCATCCCTAATGATAAGTGAGATAAAAAGGTATTTAAATTATTTTAGACATTATGTATTAATATATTTATNTATCGTGTCGGGTCATTTTCGAGTTCGTGTCAAGTTTAAGTTATGTCGTCGTGTTAAATTGAAAATTACCATCCCTAATGATAAGTGAGATAAAAAGGTATTTAAATTATTTTAGACATTATGTATTAATATATTTATCTATATATTTTTATCAATATATATTTTCTAAAAAATTGAATGAATCTTCCGATACATGATAGGTTGCTTTTGGAAAAAGATACACATTGAAATACATGCTTTGACAAACTTGTACATAAACGAAAAAAAAAATCAAAATCATATCTACAATAGTTGAGTTAAATGGAAGAAAGAGATCGACCACAGAGAAAACATCTTTGATTTAGCAAGAGAGCAAACTACTAAACAGAGGTCCAAATGTAATTATTTGCTTTTACTCCGGTTTATGATTCAGCTTGTTTTAAAAATTAATTGATTGTTGGGAAAGGAAGTTGAGAAGCAGGATTTTAAAATTGATTTCAAACTACCAATTATCATCTTTCATGTGCAACAACATGGAATCTATTGCATCTATATTAGCAGACATTGTTCGGATATACCATAGATCAGTGCAAAACAAAGATGATTTAGATCCACACCTAAAACATTCAATGCCTACATGAAAAGTTCTTATCATTTCACCAGAACAACGCTTTCAATATTTGTCATTCTATAGTTAGAGGTGCTATGTCTATCAGAGCATTACAATTTGACAATAGTTCAGCCAACTTAAAACGAAGTTATCCTTCCACGTCCTTTTAGTTTTACCATGGCCATCAACATGTTATAAAGAGGTGTGGTGCTCCGATGGCTCCAAGGATGGAAACATTTATACACGAAAATAGTGTCACTTGAACTTCCTTTTTAAGGACAGAGCATAGAAAGTAAGATAAAATGAACAAACCATATGAGATACCATTCCAGAACACACGTTAAAATTGATAGACCACTAATTTTAATACACATAAGTTACCATTGTGCAACTTGTGCTTTGTCGGTAGATCTCCAAGCTCTTTCCGTTTTCTAAGTATCTGCTGACGCATTCGTGCATCAAAGTTGGCTTCGTCATCATCACTATAATCAAGGACTTCAGAAAATTCAGCTTCTGAATCTTTCCGTGACTCTTCCCTCTTTGAACTTAGAGCTTCCCTGACAGTCAACTGCACTTCTCTTGTTTTTTTGGCATCAGATGTGTTCTGCAAATACGAAGTTTCTTAGCAGAAATCCACTACAAACCATTTCGCTGCTCACTGTGAAGACATCATATCCACATGAAGCTGCTTTGTAACGATCATAATGATGGTAAAACACGTAATCTTATATGAAGACTTCCAGTATGTGCTTCAGAGTAGCAATGATTGGAGAACAAAAACGGTATCTCACAAATTAAACATGATACATGAGCAGGAACTCCAAGAAGATGAGCCTTTTATTTTGAAATGTAACATTGATGAAGACCATTATCATTTTACAACAGACCAAAACACAACAGAACTATACAGGTCCCCGAATACTGTTGCAATAGACTAGAATGATGGGAGTTCTTGTATTTTTATTACAGTATATAAACAGGAGGAGAGGAACAAAATAAGAAGTTTTCCCTCGCTTTTAAAAAAAATGTCTTCTCTTCTCTTGCTTCCTTTCTTTTTCTTCACAACCCAAAAACCATGATGACTATATTTGAACTTGGTATCAGAGCTTCAGTCAACACCTGAGCTTCCTCAAAAACAACAAAAAAAGACACTAGTGAGAGAAAAGGAACTAAAATAGCGTATTGACTTTACCGCCTTCTTACTGACGTCAGCTGCCATCAGCACACGATGGCAGAAACCCTAGGGTCTGGATCAGGTATTGCTGGCGTATGGTGATTTTTTTGAGCTCGTTTGATCCTGTTTTTCATTTTTTGAATTTTTTTAGAAAAAACTTTGATTTTTTTTTATTTGAAGCATGAGTTTTTTCAACTTTTAAGCTGCTACCAACCCANTTAGAAAAAAACTTTGATTTTTTTTTATTTGAAGCATGAGTTTTTTCAACTTTTAAGCTGCNTGAATTTTTTTAGAAAAAACTTTGATTTTTTTTTATTTGAAGCATGAGTTTTTTCAACTTTTAAGCTGCTACCAACCCACGCACACTGCTCCAACTAGGCTTGAGGGAGTTGATTTTTGGCAGGCCATGGCCATTTGAGTTAATTTGGTGAAGAAAATGGCTCCAGGCAATTCGGTTCTTGTGGCACTGTGCAAAGTTAGGGTATTGAATCCTTTGTTACTATTATGTTTATTTCTAGCTTTGTGGCACTGTGCAAATTTGGTTGTGCCCTTAATTGCTCGAGTCTTTGGTAATTATTTTGGGGCTCTCTCTCATCATTGACTCAATTGTGTGGTGTTGTTCTTCTGGTAGCTCTGGTGGTGGTATATTAGGTTAATTTAACACCTAAAATGAAAACCCTGCATTACAACTTACAACACCTAGATTATTTGTTTCTTCGTTGTGCTTTTGCCTCAAAATTGTGGCATAGGTTCTTGGGTGTTATGGGGATCTCGCAAGGGGTTCCTACAAGTTGTGATTTGATTTTTAGTATGAATTTTGATGACTTTGGTTCAAGTGCTAAGGCCTTGGCCCTATGGAGATGTGAGGTAGTGGCTTTGTCTTCGGTAGTTGGTTGGAAAGAAAGGGCACATTTTTGAGGATTAGGACAACCCTTGGAAAGATTTTTCAAATAAAATTTCTTTCATGGTGTCTCTTTGGGTTTCCTCTTCCAAGAACTTTGAAGGGATTCCTCTATTTTTAACCAAAGACCATTGGGCTCAAGCCTGTGCTTAGTGGAATCGCTTTCATATTCTTATTGTGATTTTTTTGGGGGCTCTTTCTCTTATGTGCTACTTTCTTTTTTTAATTCTAGTAATACTCTATCGATTCCTATTCCAAAGAAAAAAAAACTTACAATGACTAAGGTAGATGGCACAATTTTCCTTGTCTTATTCTGCACCATTGTTCATAAAGAGCAAAGGAAGGATGAGCTACCTTAAGGGCATTGTTGTTGCACTAAAGAAGGCAGATCCACTTTTTGATGAATGGGTTGCAGAGAATTCTATAGTTACATCATTGCATGCAACCCAAGATCAGAAACTCTCTAGCTAGTTATATTGTTCTACAATGACTATGGCAGAAGTTGAACCAATACCAGGTGTTCCAAGTTGATTCTTCTAGGGATGCCCATATATTTAAAAGGAAAGTAGACCAGGAGCGCATTTTGGAGTCTTACCTAGTTTGAATATGGAGTTTTGATACATTGTCTTCTCTCAATCAGATATTTGCTTATATTCAAGGTGAGAATAGTATGAGGAATGCTATGCTTTAGATATCAGAGAGATGCGCCCTTGTATCAACATCTCGACAAGAAGGTAAAGCAATCAATAGCAGCTGTGATAGTGGCCATTTTACTAAAAAGAGTTGTTGGATGCTACACAATAGACCTATATGAGGCAGAGGGGGTTAGCAGAAAACTGACTAGATCTCGTGCTCATCTTACTTCTATTGACTATCCTGTAACTTCTTCAGTTTTTACTCCAGACTCCGGGTCTTTCTAAGGAGGAAATTGAATCCCTTCGATGCTTCTTGAGTCAATTAGAGCCCACCTCTACTACCATTGCTACATTCAGATTTGCTCACTCAAGTATCCCTCAACTAGGAAGCATTTGATCACATATCATGTTTATCCCATTTGTCATCTTCTTACCATACTTATTCAGGTAGGGATAAATTTGGAAAGGGAATGGATCGTTATCATCAATTTTTGGTAAAGTCTCAATTTTAGTTTCTCTGTCATCTATCCTACATGTTCATAACTTATCTACAAACTTTTTATAATTAGTAGTTTTAACTCTCTAAACGTAACATAGTATCAGGGCAATAGATCTAAAATTACTCTGCAATTAATCCAATTAATCTTTCTTTTCTTGCGATTAATCTAATTAAATAATCAATTCTTTCTGTCTTCTTCCTCTTGCTATTTCTTGTTCCGTCACTGGTGCACCCATGGCCATGGCATAGTGTCGCTGTCTGACCAGTAGCCGTGGCCAGTGGTTATGTTGATATCGGTTGTGATAGNTCATCAATTCTTTCTGTCTTCTTCCTCTTGCTATTTCTTGTTCCGTCACTGGTGCACCCATGGCCATGGCATAGGGTCGCTGTCTGACCAGTAGCCGTGGCCAGTGGTTATGTTGATATCGGTTGTGATAGGTGATGAAATCCGGCATATGGTGTTCGTCCATGTGTGGTTCGTCAGTGTATGAGATTGTTCGCTGTTGCCAAAGGTTAGCATCACAGTAGTGATTGTTGTTATCCGTTGTGTGGCTGTGGTGATTGCCAGAGGTCAGAGTCGCAGTGGTAGATTTCTTCAACGCTGAGTAGTGGCGGTGGTGTGCGCTACTTGGGTGTTCAGAGTAGGGTTTCTAACCTTGCAGCGAAGAAGAAGAAGACTTCTCCTTTGGGCAGAAGACAACTTCTCCTTTGAGCATAACACAAGTCCAAAATCATGTGGTTGTGGTGGTCGCCAGAGGATAGCATCACAGTGATCGCTTCCCTTGGTGCTGAGTAGTGGCCGTGGTGTGTGCCACTTGCGTGTTCAGAATAGGGTTTCTAACCCTTGCAATGAAGAAGGAGACTATTTCTCCTTTGGCCCTAACACAAGCCCAAAATTTATTTAAACTAGTCCACCAAGCCCAGATGGTACATTCAGAGCGGCCCAGCCTGTTCTCAGACCGGTTTAGCCCCTGCTCAAACCAGTTTGGTTCTTCTCAGACCGGTTCAGTACCAATTCACCACTGGTTCATCTGATCAGGCGGCGGTTCTGGTCCGGTTCAGCACTCCAGCAGCATTGTTTGGTCCAGTTCAGTGCTACAGCAATCTGTTCAGACCGGTTCAGTGCTTCAGCAGTCTTGTTCAGTCCGGTTCATCACTCCAGTAGCCCTGTCTGGTTCAGGTCAGTGCTCCAGCAACCACTTCAGTTCGGTTCAGTGCTTCAGCGGCATTGTCCAGTCTGGTTCATCACTCCAGCAGCCTTGTCTGGTCTGGTTCATTACTCCAGTAGCCTTGTTCAGTTTGGTTTAGCATTCCAGCAGTCTGGTTTCCTTGGGTGCAGCAGTCTGATTAAGGTCTGTTGTTTATTTGCCGTGTTTGTTTGTTTGGTAATATGGAATCAAAGAGTGATGACCAGTCTCTAATTACTTCACATGTTCCCACAACCTTTCCTCCTTCAGTTCACCTTACAGTCCCATGACTTTTGTTAAACTCAATGGAACCAATTATATTTTATGATCTCATTCAGTCCAAGTATTTCTTAAAGGCAAAGGTTTTAAGAAATATTTGGTGAAAACCACACCCAAGAAAAGTGATCCTCTATATGATCGGTGGGAACAGGAAGATGCTCAGATTATGTCTTTACTTTTGAATAGTATTGAGATGAGAATTAGCTCTACCTTGCTTTATCTTGACACTGCCAAAGCAATTTGGGATCACTTGGCCGTTATTATTCTCACGCTAAGGGAGTGTGTGAGGATTGAAATAGTATACCCCGTTCACTACTGATGCAGCAGTGTGGCCGAAAGAACATGAGGATATGAATGTTGTTCGTTTTCTTATGGTTTTAAAAACCCGAATATGANAGGGAGTGTGTGAGGATTGAAATAGTATACCCCGTTCACTACTGATGCAGCAGTGTGGCAGAAACAACATGAGGATATGAATGTTGTTCGTTTTCTTATGGTTTTAAAAACCCGAATATGAGCCTATTCGCTCTCCGATTTTGGGTGACTCCAGTTTGCCCTCTCTACTTGAGGTCTTCTCATGCCTACTGCAACCTTATCTATTAGCTCTTCTGGTATGGATCGTGGCTTGTCTACTGAGCACTCAGCTCTTATTGTTCCCTCTGGCCTTAGTGATAGCTCTCGAGGTAACCGTGACAATCATGGTAGTCGTGGAGGCCGGACCGGAGATCGTACCGGAGGACGTGGAGGTCGATCTAGGTCCCGTTCATGCACTCATTGTGGTCGTGGAGGTCACACTATTGATTATTGTTAGGACTTGCATGGCAAACCTAATGGTGTTGCTAANCGATCTAGGTCCCGTTCATGCACTCATTGTGGTCGTGGAGGTCACACTATTGATTATTGTTAGGACTTGCATGGCAAACCTAATGGTGTTGCTAATCAAGTTTCCTATCAGGATGACACTTCCTCTCTACCTCTTCCAGGCTCACAGCTAGCTCCACCTAACTCTGAGTTAGTTACTAGGAATATACTCGGTCCATGTCTCAGCAATAGCCTACACTCCGGAGCTTCTGACCACATGACTGGTGCGTATGGCATATTTTCTACTTACCACTCTGTTCCTTCCTCCTATAGTGTTACACTTGCTAATGGTACCTCTTCTAAGGTTACAAGTTTGAGAACTACTCAATTGAATCCTGATATATCTTTATCCTCCTTTTTATTTATCCCTCAGTTTCTTTTTAGTTTACTTTCTATTAACAAGATTAATCGCTCTCTAAATTGCTCAATAATTTTTTATCCTTCTTATTGTGTATTTCAGATTCTCCAAACGAAAAGGAAAATTGGTATGGGACTTGAATCTGGTGGTTGGTGCCTTTATTCCTTTGACCGTGATCCACTTACTCGGGCACTCTAGACCTCATCCTCTCCATTTCAGTGGTATTGTCGTCTTGGTCATCCTTCCCTTCAGAATCTGAAACGTCAAGTTCCAAGTCTTAGTTATGTGTCGTCTGTGTCTTGTGAAGCCTGTCAATTTTGTAAACATCGTTGTGTGTCTTTTCAGTCTAGAGTCAATAATCGTGTATCTAGTCCATTTGAGTTGGTATATTTTGATTTATGGGGTCCAATAAAGAATATTTCATCAAATAAATATCCTTATTTTGTGTCATTTNTTTGAGTTGGTATATTTTGATTTATGGGGTCCAATAAAGAATATTTCATCAAATAAATATCCTTATTTTGTGTCATTTGTCGATGATTATTCTCGTGTGACTTGGTTATTTCTTATGAAAGCTCGTTCTGACTTATTTTCTATATTTAAGACTTTTCATAAAGAAATCAAAACTCAGTATGGTTGTCGTATTCATATTTTATGCTCTAATAATGCTCGTGAATATGAATCTAACCCTTTTTTCGCATATTTTTGTAAAACTAACATTATTCACCAGACTTCTTATGGTTACACATCTCAACAGGATGGTATTGCTGAGCGTAAAAATTGTCATTTGTTGGAAGTTACTCGTGTATTGTTATTCCAAATGAATGTTCCTCGTTCTTTCTAGAGTGATGTGCTCACTACTTGTCACCTTATTAATTGTATGACATCCTCTGTGTTAATTGGGCAAAATCTTTTTTTTGTTCTTTTCTGTATTAAACCCTTATTTTCCTTAACTCGAAAGAGGTAAACTTAATCCTAGTACCCTGAATCGTGTTTTCTTGGGTAATTTTGCAACTCAGACACCATATTGTTGTTATCATCCAAATTTTTGACATATTATCACTCTAGACATTACCTTTTTCGAGTCCACGACATATTTTCATAGGTTGTACACAACTCTTCCAGGAGGAGCCTAGAAGTGAAGAGTTATACTATTCTCTCAAGGTTTTATTGATTCCTCAATTGCTACCACAGTTTGAGATCATAATTTGTGTGTCACCAAGACATTGACTTACTTGAGGATAAAAAAAGGTGAGAGATCGCTCTCATGTTAAGTGGCAGTTGACTCTTCTGATCTAGGTAATGCATCCATCTTGCTATAGTTCATTCTATCCATCTTGTTTTTTATGACACTAACCTTCACACTACATTCGTAGAGAATTTGATCTTGCACTTAAAATCCCATATCGAACTTCATTTCTTAAAATACTCTCGCATTCCTACAATGCTTTTATCTTTTCTCTATCTATTCCAAAAGATTAGAGACATGCCTAGACACACTCTAAGTGAAAGGCAGCTGTTGTAGAAGAGCAAAAAACCCTCCAACAAAAATCATCGGTGGGACCTAGTAGCTCTTCATGAAGAAAAAGAGTAATTAGTGAAAATGGATATTTGCTAAGAAGCATGGGACAAATGGATCAATGGAGCGACATGAAGTTAGATTGGTGGCTAAGGTTTCAATAAAACATATGGCATTGATTATCAAGAAATTTTGCACCACTAGGTAAGATGAATTCCATTAGATTTTTGCTCGCCTAGCAGTAAATTTGGGATGGCATTTACAACAACTAGATGTGAAAAATGTATTCATCCATGTTGACTTGGAGGAGGAAATGTACAGATATACTCCTAGTTTTTCGTCTCTCGAAGGGAAGGTTTAACTAAGGCAAGGGTCTTGTCCATTTAGAGATAGAGTTGCAATAGCAACTAGATCTACAGGGTAGTTATGAGCAGTGTTTTGAAAAGCTCGCCTAGGCGAGAAGCGAGGCGAGGCGAGCTTATCTCGCCTAGAGGACCCCAGGCTAAGCGAACGTTAGCGAAGCGAGAAAAAAGCGAGAAAAAGCGAAGAAGCGAAAAAGAGAACGCTTTATTATAAAAGGCGATTCTAATTCACTTTTTTTTTTTTTTTTCTGATTACTGGTTAGTAAGCTCTTTTATTTTTTAATCACTAATGACTTTTTTTTAGACTATTGCTGGTCTATTTTTTATTTTTTTTTCTAATAAACAANCATATGAAATTGTTTACAATTGATTCTGCTCCTGTCATGATCATTGTGCTTCTGTTTTTTTTTTTTAGCTCATTCTGCTTCTATTTTTTTTTGTTGATTCTGTTCTGTTTCGATTTTACTGTCCTGTGTTGCTTTTGTTTTTTTTTATCCTCATTCTGCTTCTTTTTTTGTTGTTGCTAATTCTGCTGTTGTCCTGATTCTGCTTCTTTTGTTGTCCTACCCTGTCAATATGAAAATGTATACAATTGTTAGTATTTGTTTGAATTTAAATATTTAAGTTATGACTGTTATTAAGATTTGAGATATTATTAGTGTTTGTTTTAATTTAAATGTTTATGGTTTTACTTGCATTTAAATATTTAGTATATATAAAATTAGAACTTAGATTGTTTAGAAGTAATTAAACTAAAATATATATTTTTTTTAACTGTTCACTTTGCTTCAGTAAAGCGTGTCGCTTCGCTTCTCGCTTCACGCCTAGGCGTTAGGAGCCTTGGTCGCTTCGGTTCGCTTTACGCCTTAAATAACACTGGTTATGAACATGACATTCATTCCTAACTTTCATACAACCGTTAGCAAGATTAATAATACCAACCCAAGTATTAATTATAAGGGCCTTGACCATCAACAACACGTCGGTTGAAATTGAATAAGTTGGAGAAGTCTCCTATGGCTTGAAGCAATCTCATACAACTGTGTTTGAAAGATTTAGTAGAGCTATACAAAAGTATTAGTACAAACAGAGTCAGAGTAATCATACTTTTTTCATCAAACACACAAAGGGAACGCTATTGTACTTATAGTCTATGTAGAAGATATTGTCATAACTGGTAATGATACTAATGACTGCTAAGCTTTAAAATTATTTTTAACCAAGGAATTTGAGATAAAGGATTTAGGTGATTTGAAATATTTTCTTCAAATACTCAACTCAATGGAGCCTTGTCCCAATNTGAAAGATTTAGTAGAGCTATACAAAAGTATTAGTACAAACAGAGTCAGAGTAATCACACTTTTTTCATCAAACACACAAAGGGAACGCTATTGTACTTATAGTCTATGTAGAAGATATTGTCATAACTGGTGATGATACTAATGACTGCTAAGCTTTAAAATTATTTTTAACCAAGGAATTTGAGATAAAGGATTCAGCTGATTTGAAATATTTTCTTCAAATACTCAACTCAATGGAGCCTTGTCCCAATTTTTTTTGGGCCAGTTACATGAATCATAATTTGTCATTTTGCTCTACAAAGGATCATACTTTCTCCTGAACTCAATAACTATCACATTGCACTTTCTCATTGGTGTCATAATAGACAACATCGTCTATAGATATGCTCATACTACCCAAGTTGATTCTCCCTTAATTTAGTTTTACCACACATCCATCATAAGATCCTATAGTTATTCTACAGAACTTTCCTTGAGATAGAAGTTGCAAAATCCAATAAAAGAATCTTCATTTCCCACTACATATATGTTGGATATATGTTTTAGACTTGTTGAATGAGACAGAAATGCTGGGTTGGAACCCCTGTTGATGTAGGATGGGAAGGACAATAAATCATATAATAGAAAGAGAAGATGTTGCAGAAGGGATTTACCTCATCTTCGTAAGGAATTGGTCACAAAACACACAAATCTCCGTAGAGAATACTAAATTCTTATTCATAATCTCTCCCTAGTAAAAATAGTAAGGATACATCAATATTTATAGGTCAAGTCTCCTACCAAAATAAAAACTCCTATTCTAATAAAATTCTAAAATAGTTTTATAATCAAACTCTCAAATCTCTATCCTACTAAAACTTTATAATAATTTCCTAATCAAACTCTAATTAACACTCCTAATCAAACAAATATTTTCCAACTAATATAATAATACTAAAACAAATAATAAAATATAATTCTTTAATTTAAACCCATTCAATCCCTTTTCGATCTCTATCAATTATCCCTGACTGAAAAAACTCTTCTCCAAAGAGTTGTTGTAGCAAGAGTACTCCAAGAGAATTGACATCAGACGGTAAAACATATCTTTAAACCAGATAATATAAAAGTAAGTTCTCCCTTTAATGACATAATATAAAATATCACAATAGGAGGAATTTATATCTCGAATCTTCATAACCTTCACACTTTGTTCCAAATAAAAGGATGGTGATGATGTTGGCAAAAAAGTAGCATCTTCATTAAAAAAAACACGTTTGAAACTTGCTTAATTTCATTTGTAGGGACACCATTTGAAATTGGCTCATAAAAAATAATTGATATATGATGAGGAGAACTTTTAGGCTCATCAACGGTGTCTAATTTCAGCTCATCATTCAATTGAACTGGAACTTGCCTTGACCATCTTTTTTGGAGTTGAACTCCCAATCGACAATTGTATGAACAAGATAGATTTTGATTCATTTTCTTCACTCATTGATCATCAAGAAGTAGTTGAACAAGCTATGGCCCAAGAAGTTCCTACACAACCGCATGGGTCAAAGTGTTTTATGGGCTATCTAATGTGCCAAGGCTTTTAATGAAGAATTGGGCCAAATAAATAAGGGTTATATAACCAAAAAAAAGTTGGGACCCAAAGCTTTTAATATAATAATGGGGAAATCATAAGGCTCAATAAAGGCAGGACCCTATGCAGCAAACCTTTGGCAGCAGAAGGGAAGCACTAAACAGAAAGCAAGACCAAACCTACTGCAGCGGTAAGCACTAAGCACTAAGCACCAATGTAGCGGTAATGAGGCAACAAACAAGGTTGTGGCCAACACAAAATTCTGGAAAAATTGATGTGTCCATGATGAAACAGTGAGGGTTTGTAAGATCGAGTGATACCCACAATTAACTCTGAGAAGTAGACGCAAAATAGGGAGAGACAAATCCAACGGATCAAGATTTTGCTTTGATACCAAATTGATGTAGGACGAGAAGGGCTAGAAATCAGATAAAAGAAAGAGAAGGAGTAGAAGGGATTTACCCCATGCTCGCAAGAAATAAGTCAAGAAACACAGAAATCTCTAGAGAGAATACTCAATTCTTATTTGTAATCTCTTTCTAATAAAAATAGTACGAATACATCAATATTTATAGGTCAAGTCTCCTACTAAAATAAAAATTACTATTCTAATAAAATTCTAAAATAGTTTCATAATCAAACTCTCAAATGCCAATATTACTAAAACTCTATAATAATTTTCTAGTCAGCTCGGATTAATACTACTGACCAAACACATATTTCCTAACTAATATAATAATATTAAAACAAATAATAAAATTCAATTCTTCAATTTAAACTCATTCAATCCCTTTTCTATCTCTATCATATGTGATACTTAGATTAAAAATAATGATCTAGGATAAAAAAATAATGATAAAAATGTTTAACACAAACAGGTACCGAAGATTTGCTGCAAGTTGGTTTATCTTTCACATAATCAACAGGATATTGCCTAGTACTTACATTGTAAACCTAGTGAGTCAGATTATGTATTCTCCCCGGTCATCCCATTTCAAGGCAGCCTTTAGAATTTTTTTGATATTTGAAGCTGGTAACTGGGATTGGTCTTTCGTATTGTAGATACACCCATTTGAGGTTGGAATCATATTTAGATGTACCTAGGGCATGATCACTCACAAACAAACAGTCTAGTTATGTGTATTGTACCTTTGTTGGAAGCAACGTGAGGTGTGAGCCTGAGGTTCCGAATTGTGTCACATGGGTTGTGGGTTGGCCCCATTCAATACAATGAGACAGTGATAGCAGAATTGCCATCAATATTGCATATACCTAGTTCAACATGATTGCTCCAATATATTGAAGATATACATTTTATTAAAAAGAAGCTAAGCTCTAGTCTAATTTGCACTCGTCTTTTGAAGACCAAGGAACAGTTGGCTGATGTCTTGATGATATCTTGATCATAGGGGTGTCAAGTAAGGTGTTTCATATCATGTTATGCAACAACTGAAGGGGAGTGTCAGATATCTACAAATTAGAACAATGGGTGTTCTTGTAATTTGCCTAATATTTGACAAATTAGAACAATGGGTGTTCTTGTATTTCCTAATATCCCTAAAACAATAAGTATAGAAGAGGATAGGAATGAAATATCAATTTTGGCACTCTTTTATTCTCTTTCTTCCTCTTTTTTCTTCACAAAACATAAAACTGTGACAGTTATATTTCCATTATTACATGGTACGCAGACATATTCGAAAACAAATAAATGTATAGCGAACTAAAAGTATGAGAAAACTCCGAGCATTGAGGAAAATAAGTAAACTAGACCTTACCGAAAGCGTATGACACACTAAAACTTTGAAGTAAATTGAGATTGTAATATGGCGTATGAAACAAAATTATTATTCGAGGCACATGCAATTGATCTAGTTATTCTAAGCAACCTTTTCATGCCACGAACTCTTTCCCAGAGCAAAAGCTGAGCTGTCACAGAACCTGTGAACTATTACTTTCTGACTATCATATTGTAGCTTTACCATGCAACAATAAGGCATAACGAAAGTCCTCAATTGTTACCAAGTTCTTGCTTGATATTCCTTCCTTTAGGAGGCGAGGATCATCCAATACATCATGACTGCTCTTTATCTTAGTGTTGAAAGCTGTCAGTTCCTTCTCCTCTTCAATTGCTTCTTCTCCAAATGAGAGCAAGTTCACATTTCTGTAAATGGAAAACATAATAAACATAAATCAATAATGACACGATATACTTTGAGTCTCTGACATTTTCTGGAACTTTGTTATTTACCAAGAGACAATAGAATAAATCTCACTTTTTAACTTTCTTCTTTGGATCTCTCGTGTCTGTATCAACTCTAGATGAGGGCAAAGACCTTGCAGATGCTACTCTTGGAATAATATCATCAAAAGGGTTCCACAGTACCTAAAACAGGGATTTAGACATGGAACCAACCAATGAAACTGTCTTCCTCAATTATAATTCTAGAATTGTGTAAGGAAAGGAGATTCATGAAGGTTGAACACATATAGAACCCATAAGCAGATATTGTTTGATATCTTCTTTTATATTTGTTAAGAGTATTAGAGTATTATTATGTGTAAATACTAGGTTGTAATAAGTATACCATATAGAGGGTATACTCGTCCTCTGTATGAGTACAAGATAACTATAAATACAAGATGTTTGTGAGAGTAGGTTATGTTTTTGACCACTCTTTGTTTCTCTAATACCATGTTATGTTAACTCTCTAAACTTAATATGGTATCAGAGCTAATGGACATCTTAAGGTGAAGGGTTTTGCAGATGCTAGTTGAGTTGTCTCTCCTTCCGATTGGAGATCAACCACCAGTTACTATACTTTCTTGGGAGGTAACGTTGTCTCATGAAAAAGTAAGAAACAAACAATGATAGCAAGATCTAGAGCTGAGGCTGAGTATAGAGTAGTTACTACACTTTATTCGGAAAATTAGCTATTCAGTTCAGTCTCCTTTACAATTATTTTGTGATAATCAAGCAACTATCCATATCGCTGTCAATCCAGTATGTCAAGAGAAAATTAAACATATTGAGNGGGAGGTAACGTTGTCTCATGAAAAAGTAAGAAACAAACAATGATAGCAAGATCTAGTGCTGAGGCTGAGTATAGAGTAGTTACTACACTTTATTCGGAAAATTAGCTATTCAGTTCAGTCTCCAATACAATTATTTTGTGATAATCAAGCAACTATCCATATCGCTGTCAATCCAGTATTTCAAGAGAAAATTAAACATATTGACGTTGATTGTCACTTTATTCGAGACAAGATAATTGTTGGGGATATTACAACTCCTTTTGTGAGATCGGAGGATCAACTTGCAGATACGTTCACTAAAGTATTGAGTCGTACTCATCACAACCATCTATTCCAAGATTGGATTATATAATATATATAGTCTAACTTAAGGGAGAGTGCTAAGAACATTAGAATATTATTATATGTAAATACTAGGTTATAATAAGTATATCAAATAGAGGGTATACTCGTCCTTTGTATGAAAACAAGATAACTATAAATACAAGATGTTTGTGAGATGTGTAGGTTATGTTTTTTACCACTTTTTGTTTCTCTAATATTGTGTTATGTTAACTCTCTAAACTTAACAATAATATTGGTTATAATAAGTAAGTGTACGGTTAATACTATAATTACCCTCCTTAATATCTATTTGATATAAAGAAGAAGGTGTAGGGCAACATATAGAATAATACACTATTTTAACAAACTCTCTTTTCCCCTGTCCTTTTTCTTCTTCCTCTTTTCTCAGAAAATCTAATATCTCATACTATTTAGTGTCAACTTGGTAGCAGAGCAACGATCTTAATTAAAAAGGATACAAAAACAGTTGTTAGAGTTGTTAACATCATCATCGGTGTGAATTTTCCGACGATCAGTTCTCATGGCTGGTTCGACTCTCTATGCCAGTGATTATGTGATTTTTGAAAAAAAAATTGAAGTAATCTAAATCATGTTTTCTATTTTCAAATAATTTTTAAATTTTTCGGTCTCTATTTATCAATCTAGCAATTGCACAAGATCTAGATCTTGTTTGTGCTTCGAATTACACTTGAGCGACCAAGTCCCAAAGATCTTCTTCAATGTGACCCCTTCTGGTTTTTGGGTGGTTTTTGGCCTTTTGTGCGCAACGAGGAGAAAAGTGACTGATTTTGGCCTACCGTCCACTGTTTCACCTTCATTTTGCTCTGTCCTGTCTTTGGGCAAATTCGGTGTGATTGTTTGGTGTTGGCTTGTTTACCTTAGGCTATTTATCCACTATTGTGTTTTTGTAAACTATTGATGGAATCTGAATTTGATTTGTTCCTACTTGGGTGACTGGTTGATTATGGCGACCTTTAATGATACCAAAGTTCCTCCAATGGATGATCAAGTTAGACAAATTACATATGTGAAACTGAATGGTAGTAATAATCATCGATGGTCCCATGCTAGTAAAGTTTTTCTACGAGCAAAAAATAAAATCAAGTATTTAACTGATACTCCTCCAAATTCTAACTAGAAAAATTTTGATGGTCGAAGAAAACAAAAATTCTTTTGTGATGATATGGTTGTGGGCCTTGTGGCTCAGAATGGAACTGTACATGGTGTCTAATGTTCAATTTCATGACACAACTAATAAGATCTAAGACTCTCGAACATAATGCATTTGCAGATGGATTCATGAGATTTTTGAGCGGTCATTTAATACCAAGTAAGGTGATAAGTCTCGCTGAACATTATGGTTTTTTGAAAAGTTTGTGGGAAAAGCTTATATTATATCAGCCATTCAGCGTAGATTTAGAAGAATAATGACACCAACAGGAAAAAATTTTGGTTGTTTTGTTCTTGTCAAGCCTTAACTTTAAGTATTGCGTGTTAAAGACCATGTTTTGACCAGTGAAAAACTTTCAACTGCTGCTAATGATTATTCTTGTCTTCAACGTGCTTCTCTTAATCATGAGATTTCTTCAACTTCATAGGATACCTCTGCTTTAATATCTAGTGAATGTACTCGTCGGGTGGTTGTAAGGGTGGTGGGGGTGGTGGTGATAGGAGTCGTCTCACCCAAGGTGGCAATTGAGGTGGTCGGGCTACTAGTCATGGCGGTCGTGGTGGTCATAGTGGTTATGGTAATAGTTCCAAGTGAAAATGTTCTTATTGTGGTGACACGAGTCATATTGAGGATTATTGTTGGTATAAGTATGGAAAATCGACATATGCTAACCAGGTTTCCGATGATTCAACTCCTCACGTACATCAACCACATACTGATGTTCCTACTTCATCTACTTCAAATTCTCACGCTTATCTTACTTCTCAACTCAGTTACCTCANACCACATACTGATGTTCCTACTTCATCTACTTCAAATTCTCACGCTTATCTTACTTCTCAACTCAGTTACCTCATAACAATCACCTTCACTTTCCCCCCAATTGTCTACTTCTATTGCCAAATTGGCTAGTGTAGGTAATTCTGCACAAGTTCACCAGTATGGGTTATTGATTCATGATTGAATGCTCCCATGTCTAGTACCNCATAACAATCACCTTCACTTTCCCCCCAATTGTCTACTTCTATTGCCAAATTGGCTAATGTAGGTAATTCTGCACAGGTTCACCAGTATGGGTTATTGATTCATGATTGAATGCTCCCATGTCTAGTACCTCACTGTCTTTTAATTTGTGTCCTTCTACGTATTGTCTTAATTGATGGTTCTTTTAGACCGGTCCGTGGGACTTGTGATCTCCATCTAACTCGTCTATGCCCTTTAACATTTAGTTTATTTGTTCCCCATTTTCCCTATAACTTGTTATATGTGAGTTAGTTAACTAAATAGTTACAGTGTTTAGTGACATCTATTCCGTCTTTTTGTGTTTTTTAGGACCTCTAAATGAAGGTGATTGGTTTGGGGCATAAGCAGAATANAATAGTTACAGTGTTTAGTGACATCTATTCCGTCTTTTTGTGTTTTTTAGGACCTCTGAATGAAGGTGATTGGTTTGGGGCATGAGCAGAATGGTCTTTACTCTTTACTACTTGGATTCAAGATATTATGTTCCCGCATTGAGTGCTATCGTGTCTCCTTACTATTGGCACTTTCGATTGGATCATCCTTTGGTGTAGAAAGCTACAACAAGTTATCCCTAATTTCAGTCTTTTTTTATTAANTACTATTGGCACTTTCGATTGGATCATCCTTTGGTGTAGAAAGCTACAACAAGTTATTCCTAATTTGAGTCTTTTTTTATTAGAATGTGGGGCTTGTTAATTAGGCAAGCATCACCGTAGTTTTTTTTTCTAGTAGTTCTAAATGTCATCAGTCTAATCCTTTTGACTTTGTTCAACCAGGCATTTGGGGTTCTGCAAAATAAAAAGTAGTGGCCTTCAGTATTTTGTGATCTTTGTTGATGACTTTTCTCATATAACTTGGTTGTTTCTTATGAAAGATCATTCTGAATTGCCTAAGATTTTTGTTACCTTTTATAATAAGATTCTAGTTCGGTTTTGATAAATGTATTTAAGTTTTTTCGTTTCATAATACTCTAAAAAATATTCAATCATTCATGAATATTTTTTGTGGTGACCATGGTATCACACATCAAACTGCCTGTCCACATACATCCAAGCAGAATGGCACTGCCAAACATAAACATCATCGAGCACTTTAATTTTTAACACACATGGTCCAAAATCCTATTGTGCTGATGTTGTTGATTTAGCTTATTAATCGCATGCCCTCCTCCATTTTGGCCAACAAATCTCCTTTCTCTGTGTTTTATTCTAATAAACTACCATTTAGTCTCATTGCCCGTGTTTTTGGTTGTATTGCATTTGTCAATCTTCTTGGTCTAGGGTATGACAAATTCTTACCTCGCTCGATCAAGTGTTTCTTTCTAAGATATTCTCATCCTCGGAAAAATTATCGTTACTATGATCGTATTTCTCAACAATATTATGTTGGTATTGATGTTATCTTTTTCGAGTCATCTTCTATAGGTTTTGTGTCAGGACATAATCTTTCTCCAAATTTGGTCTCTTCTAGCTCTCGTTGCCTACACTCCTAGATTACAGGTCCTCTTCCTCTTCATCGTCTGCTCTTCTACGGCAGGTTTACCATTATTCCACAAACAAAAAGGCTTTTCCATATGGTCCAGCTCCATAGCAAATTGGCTAATAATTCTCCAGCAGTCTAGGCTTCTGAGTCGTCCACCATCTTACCTTCTTCTGATTTACCTATTGCATTGAAAAAGGTACTTGTAGTTATACACAACATACCATTTCTAATTTTGTCTCTTTTCATTGACATTCTTCATCTTTTCATTGTGTTGCATCATCCTTATCTTTTGTGTTTGTTTCTAGTTCCTTCGAACAGGCATTGGCATCTCATAAGTGAAAATAGGTTATAGATAAGGAAATGCAAGCTCTTCATGCGAATTAGACATTTACTCCTCTTCCTTCTAGTAATGTTAGTTGTCGTTAGGCTTACACTGTAAAATATCCAAATGGTTCTATCAAGCCTTTGAAGGCACAATTGGTTTTCAAAGGATACAACTAGAAATATAGTGTGGATTACATTGAGACATTTTCTCTAGTTACTCGTCTAAACACTGTTAAAAGTGTTTCTTTCTGTAGCAGTTAGTTTTGATTAACCTTTGTATCAATTAGATACAAATCATGTTTTTTTTTACATGGAAATCTACACAAGGAAGTATATATGGTTAAGCCTCTAACATGTATTACTTTTGGGAAGGAACAATTAGTGTGTCGTACAAAGAAAATACTATATAGCTTGATACGTCACCACGTGCTTAGTTTGATAAATTCAATATTATTGTACTTGAGTATGGATTTAATCGTTTTACTTCAGATCATTCTGTTTTCATACGTTGTTTTTCCATAGGTGTTATTAATCTCATTGTATATGTCGTTGACATTATTATCCATGATAATGACTCAAATGGTACTGCCCACTTTAAGAACCATTAAGGAAAGCAATTTAACACCAAAGATTTAGGTCTCCTTTGATACTTTCTTGAGATTGAGATCGCCCGATCTAAAAAAAGTATCAATTTCTCCCAAGGGAAGTAGCTATTGGATTTACTATCTGAAACTGATACTCTGGTGCATGTCTAGTTGATACCCCCATGGATTCTACTGATGCGGAGAGTAAAGCCTTGTTTTTTAGGACACAGGACATTATCGGAGATTCGTTGGTAAGCTAATTTGTTTTACAATTACATGTCTCGGTATTACATATGTTATTGATGTGGTGAGCTAGTTTATGCACGCTCCTCATAAGCCTCATTGGGAGGCAATCTGCCGCATTTTTGGTTTCTAAGGAGTACTGGACAAAGGGTTGTTATATCCTTATCATCATCCATGACTATTATTGAATTTTTTTTTTTTTTATGATGACTTAACGGGTAATTGTATTGATAGACGATCTACTCATGGATACTATATGTTTATCGAAGGTTGAACATCATGCCATGACTTATACTGCTTGTGAGATGTTGTCGGTTCATTCTCGACTTCTTTATATAGTAATTGATGTACCTTCTCCTATGCAGATGTATAGTGACAAGCAATCAGCTATTTTCATTACTAGTAATCTTGTCTTCTATATGCTTACCAAACACGTTAATTACTATTTTATTCGCTACCTCTTGATGCAAAAGGGGATTAGCATCTGATGATTAGTTGGGTGAACTTCAGGAACTTTTACTCCAAGCTAGACATGTTTTATGTTTATGCTCCAGCTTGAAGGGGAGTGTTAGCACCCTTCTTTTATATTATTGGCTATAATGAGTAAGTGTAGGGTAATACTATAATTACCCTCCTTAATATATGTCCGATAACAAGGTGTAGGGCAACACATAGAATAATACATCATTTTTTTCAAAATCTCTCTTTTCCTCTCTCCTTTTTCTTCTTCCCTTTTTTCTTCGAAACCCTAATCTCTATAATTTTTAGTTTCAACTGATATCAACTGCTCCAACTAAAGATGCTTCAACGAAAGATTCAGAGATGATAAGGTACCATTAAAAGTGTCTGCAGGATGAGCTATCAATAGTCTGATACATCACATCTATTCAAAATTATTTACGTACTGTAAGACAGAAAAGGTTTTCCACAACCAAATGTGCTTGACGTCCAACAATTGAAGCTTTTCAAGTGCAGCTCACAATTTAGTAAGAAACCTAAGTACCTCAACCGAGATTACGTTTGGGGGAGGATCCAAGGGCCGATCGTTCTTATCAGTCTCAACATCACTTAGCCGTAGAAGATTATATATTGAATCCCCAGTTACCTGAGTAAGAGCAATCGAAATCAAAAGTGGCAGCAACTGGTGTATGGGTAACAAGCATATATGCACATACCTATATATAAATATTAAATCCTGATTACCTTTCCAAAAATGGTATGCTTCCGGTCAAGATGATCACAACGATCCAAGGTTATAAAGAATTGACTTCCATTTGTATGCGGTGCACCAGCACTCGCGCAAGCAACTAAGCCTCTGTGCTTAAATCTTAGACGTGAATGGAGCTCGTCAGCAAATAGACCTCCATAAATACTTTCACCACCTGCATATATTAATGCGAACTGACATTGGAAAATGAACAAATCTTAACAAAGGATCCGAATTGTATCCAGAGATGGCTATGGAAGCCAGAAAAATCAAAAAGAAAATGCAATTTTTTTTCTTTTCACCAACACGAACCAGACCTTTTATTCCATGATACCGGAAGAGGTGCTTATCAAACCATAATTCACAAGCCTAGAAAGTACTAATATACTATTTATCACAAAAATATTACAGAAGCTAATATAACATTTCAGGGAACAATTTGTAGTCCACCGAAGAAAAAAAAACCGACGGAAAACCAAATTTCATACCTTCAGGTGGTGTTTATAGTTTACGGAAACAATAAGAAAACCAACCCATTGCCACATTTGATATTTGCTTAAATAATACTTATGAAAAGATAGTTGCTCAAACAACATACCCAAAAAACAATGCAATATTCCTACTCCATAATATCCAGAAAAATACGACCAGTTCCATTGAGTCCCAAATTTTTATCAGGTTGAATTTTTCTTGTAAACCTTATTTCCATGTCTTGATTGATAATCCATCTTACCCAACATTTGAACCTCATAAGATGATTTGGAAAGCCAAAATGCATCCTAAGGTGGAGGTTTTTTGCTTCGAATATAGCTCATGGAAAGCTTCATACATGTGATTTGTTGCAAAGGAGTATACCGACTTCTTATGTTTCTTCTCAATGGTGTGTAATGCATAGAAAATGCATTGAAAGTGTGGATCACCTTTTGCTTCACTACCATGCAGCTTTTGAAGCTATGGTATCAAGTTTATGGTCAGTTTAGTTTGAGTTGGGAAATCCCAAGAGGTGGTGTTTCTACACCTGAGACAAATCATAGTTAGGGTTGTTAAATGAACTGAAAATTCCAAGAGGTGATGCTACGTCACTCGAGACAAATCATAGCTAGGGTTGTTAAATGAACCGAGTAGCTTGGGCTCGGTTCGTTTTTAGCCCAGTCGAGCTCGCTCATATTACAAAATTAACCAAATTTGAACAAATTTTTAAGTTCGCTTTAAAATGTGCCTAGCCTAAGCTATTCGCAAGCCAAATCATCTCGCGATAATGCTCCATGCTTTAACCACCATGGTCCACCAATGCCACCACTCCTCCTACCACCCTCAACCCAAGCCCCATATCAAATCATGTTACAAATTATGGATTTAGAGCTTGTATCAGACAAAACTTGAGCAATAATTTAGGCTCAGTGTTTGAGCTTGAACAATCATTCAAAAACTCAAACCAAGCCTCGAAGCTCGATAAGCTCAGCTCGATAAACATCTCTAATCCTGGTTATTTTAGGAAGCTATAGAGCATTTGTTTTGTGGGGTTGAGGGGTAATAGCAACTTTTGGGAGATGCAGACGGCAAAGAATAAAAGAATTTTCGAAAATAAATAAACATTTGTAGAGTTTTTTTAGGATAATGTAAAGTTTTTGACTTCCTTCGGGTGTTGACTTTTATAGTGTTTAGAGATATGCCTTTTTTTTGTCTCATAACCATTTTTGGTGTATTTTCTTTTCTTGTATTTCCTTCTCCTTTCATTGGGTGGATTTCTTGTACACTACATTATACTCTTTAATTCATTAAACGAAAGTTTTGTTTATTATCAAAATAAATAAAGAATCACTTACCGTATAATAAAATAAAATCAAAGATCATGGCGGTTTTTGTTAGTGGCACTTAACGCCCCCTTGTCTTGCTTGAGGCTTACATGGATTATATTTCAACTTCGATTCACAGAGAATAGACTGTTGAGTTGCTTTTAGCGGTTTGGTGGGACCGACGTCCGACTATGGCTTAGGTCGACCTTAGGGATCCCAGTGGATTCTCCACATCTAGGCCCCTACAAAGGCCTTCCCCGACAAGTAAGAGCTGTTATGGTCACTTCCGGCGAGGGATTCCAAATCTGGTCCCCCCAACTATAATCTTTTTCTCACGGAACAATAGAAAAGAACGTAAAATTGCACCCTTTGTCTATGATAGGTTTGGAATAGACTCCTAATTCTTCGAAACAAATAAAGTTGATTACAAATTGCTGCCAGAGTTTGCATGTTAGTTGTAATTTTCTTTTTCTTTTTTTTTTAAATTCCATAGTATATGAATGTGTGTGTTTGGTTGATGGGGGAAGGGNCTTCGAAACAAATAAAGTTGATTACAAATTGCTGCCAGAGTTTGCATGTTAGTTGTAATTTTCTTTTTCTTTTTTTTTTAAATTCCATAGTATATGAATGTGTGTGTTTGGTTGATGGGGGAAGGGTGATGCTTTTAAAGCCTAACTTGAACATTAACCATACTTGGCTACATACCTTAGTACCTTAATAACAAGCTAACATTTGCCAGGTAAAACCATTTTGTCTTTGATGAATAAAACCTTTAGAAAATGGTCAGCGACTCGGGGGTTGGTCATTCCTGGCCAAACTTCGTCTTATCAGGATCTAATTTAACTCCGAATGAACAAATGATGTGCCCCAAGTATACTGAGAAAAGAAGGCTTCTAGAATGACAATAATCTAAGCAATGAAGTTGGAATGTGGATTTCCTTTAGTTCTCTCTGATTATGGTATTTTTTTTATCCACTGTTTTATTTCGAGGACATCTTGTCCTTAGGATTGTATTTTATTCTTCGACTTTTTGTGACACCCCTAAGATCAGAGACCCTTTGTCCACCCGTTGATTACCCATCAACCCGCGGAAGTACCCATGAATGCCGCATAACCCGACACCACGACATAACATCCCTTTACCGAAACCATAAACAACACAGAGTTTGGACAAAATCTCCCTTGTACTGACAGGTACAGGTGCAAAGTATATTACTTTTTGCGGTACGTGGTGCGGTAAGGGTAAGCTTAGCTGGTACGATATTTTGGGTCGCGGTTTGCTTTGACCTATTATTCGGGCCGTTTTCATTATTACAAAGAATTATATAAATATATACATTATAAAATGCAAATTAAGACCAATAACAACACATCAACTAATAATTATGTATCAAAAAGTAATTATTGCATATTTTATTACCAATAAAGACAGCACATAAATTTAAAGACTTAAAATTTTAAAAATAACGTAGTAGAGAGCGATTAAATAGCTTCTNAATTTAAAGACTTAAAATTTTAAAAATAACGTAGTAGAGAGCGATTAAATAGCTTCTTACTTGAAGCACAAATCAAAATAACACTCTTAAACATCTAACAAGTCTCAAATAAAAATTACTTAATAAGAAAAAAAAATTGGAGCACATAAGTTAATTGTCAACTCTTTTCCCTTTATCTTTCACAATATTCTCTGCTCTTGCAAAGTTACTAATTTGAGTCTGATGCAGTCCAGAATGATGGAGTGGTGACCTACTAGAACTAGTAGGTGGCTTGTCAATAAAGACGGGCATAGAAGTATGTAAGGATGAAGCTTCCTGATTTTCGTCTCCAGCAATGATAAAACTATCTGTATTGTCATCCTCCAAGGATTTTCATCGCAAATCCTCCAATCTCACACTAGAATCATCTATATATGTGTGCTCTGGATTTATATCTCTTTTCTTAAAAGGGCCATCTTTGTAGCTTTCACTGAAACGTGATTGAATGCGAATATTTGAATGGATGAAAACCAATTTGTCAACTCTAGTAGAATTCAATCTGTTTCTCTTACATTGTGAATAAATGAATACGTGCTCCAATTTCTTTCAGCTGAAGAACTTATAATTGGTTGTGATAACACATTTTATGAAAAAAATAATAAGACACATTAATAATGATAATTAACAATAAAAATAAATAACATGTAATTTAAATTAGTACCTTTTTTGCCACTTCTGCTAATTTTAGAGTTTATGAACCATATGTCGACCACCAATCAATAGCATCCATGATCACAGCATCTGTTTGAGCCGCTACCATAGCATAAAGACCCTTTCGCGAGTGAAAATGTGCATAGTGTTTCTCTCAATCATAGTTGTTAGTATCGTACGATACGTCACGATACGGAGGAAAAACGATACGGATCGTAGATATGTATCATTTTTGCGTTGTCTGATACACGATACGTTTTTACGATATGAACGATACGCAAAGTCTTTGTTTAATTTTTTTTTTTTTTTTTTTTTTACGCACCAAATCATTCGCAGTCTCAAAAAATAAAATAAAAAATGTCAAAAAAAAGGCAAGAGATGAAGACAAGAATTACAGTCCATCAAACCCTCAAATCAGTAAAAACACCAAAGAAAAGCAAATTAAATAAATTTTTAAAATTAAAAAAAATAAAAACACCAACTTGTAATTCGGATGAAACCCTAAATTGAATTTTTACCCCAAACCTATTAGTCTCACTATCTCTCTCTGTCTCACAATCTCTTTTCATCGCTGTGAGCTGCGACCACGAGATAAGTTCTTCTTCTCTCTCTCCGGCACCAGCATCGGCATCTCCCATCGCCTTCGTCTCTCGCCTTTTCTGTATTCTCCCTTCTCTCTATCTTTGCTGCCTTCGTTCGTGGGTCACGACATGTGCAGATTTTTTTTTTGTTATAAGAATGAAAAATTACATTTACTATCCCATTACATTATAACTTTTTATTTTTAAGTATACATAAGTACCATTAATTTAATTTGATACTCTTTATTATTTTTTTAATATTAGTAAATTATATTGGTGATTTGAATAATAGGTGAAATATTAATGAAATGTTATGTTTTTATGAGTTTATGATTTTTTTTCAAAAACATGTATATTTTTTATTAATTATTTAAAATTACGTCGTATCTTACGATACACGATACGATAGGATACACTATTTTTAAAAAACGATACACCTTCCGATATGCGATTTGACAACTATGCTCTCAATTGTTTTGCTTCTTCTGCTATCTTTTCAAAAACTTCCATAACACTTATGATAACCTCTCTATCTTGATTTGGAGTTTTCCTAACTGTATCTCCCAGTGCAAGCTTAGTAAGATATTGGGTATCATAAAACCGTGGTGTTAG